CCTTCGCCGCCGCCCGTCCATGAGAATTAATTTTTGTTTTGCACATTTTGATTCTGTTTTACAGGCTCGAGATTATTTGGAACAATTGCCATTCAAACCAAAAATACCCTGGTCACAGCTCTATCCGTATGCCAATCCAAAAGGTCAGTTACATATCCACGTTTTTTTTTCTATTGTAGAGTAGTGAACAATCATGCCCATCAATTCTCCGGGGGAGGGGTATCTGTAATTCTCTCTGCTCATCACCCTTTTCCTGGTGTTCGTTTGTTTATGGTCGATATGTTCATTACAATCCTGTCCTTCACTCACTAACTTTACTCCATATAAGTGAACGGCTTTTCAGATAGTAAGCGTCGTCTGCCACTTGTATCCATCTGAATCAACCATACTTTTCGTGTATTGCACCGTTTAATTTTTCTCGGTCGCTTCTCAATGTCGGCTGTTGTGTCCCGGTTTTTGTTTTGCGTCCAATCATCGAATCGGTCAGATACCTCAGCTGAATCCGGTCTCGTCCACAGACCAGTCTGAGATTGCTGGGTTCGACGAATCTTATAGGGTTTCGTTTGAAATTCAACCATGATACATGTTTGTTTATCCACAACTGTCTCACGCTGATCGTTTGATTTACCTCGAGTAACCTGGAAATAAGTCATCGTGTATTTGAGAATTCATCGAACATGAGCTCGCTATCCTATCGAATCCAGCTCAATAGGCTCCGTTGGTTACGAAACGTGTGTCTAACGGTCGCTTACCGCACCGTTCCCGTGTTTGGTTCGGATCGTAGCTGGTGATACAGTCGCTTTCCGGATGATTACTGTTCTGGCAGTCGGACCTCGTTCATGCTTTTGTGACTTCTGTTCTTCAGTCTCCGTATTCCGACCTTATAGCTGAAGTGGCCATTTCTGTCCGGTTTTCCTCTAGGTCCTCCTCACGGTTTGTCTTGGTTTATAATCTGGTGAATATGCGCTTTTGAGCTGTTGGTCGCGTACGTGCTATCATATTTATTAGTCTAGATGGGACTCGAATCAAAGCGGATGTGGTCTTGAGAGTTAGTCAGGCTGATGCACCTGTGACGTGTTTTGTCCCCTTCGATGCCTTTCGCTTCTAGACTGATCGAAGTGTTCAAGCCGGAAATTCGTCGTAGATTCATCGATCGCACACTGCCGACCGGCCAGTTCATGGTTCGAATGACCAATTAGATTTCTAAGTTACCCTCGTAACCACTGGGCGGTTTCAGACCATAGTTGCGGTTAATAAACGATATGTCGTCGATGGAGCTGTTCAGATGCAGGGTAAACGGGCTAGTTTGAATGCCGTGACGAACCTTGCTGTCGGGTGTGTTATTCCATCACTGCTTGTCGTTCACTGTTCGACTTATCACCCAACACCCTTCTCAAGGGCGACACTCATTCAAATTAGTGCACTAAACGTGTCGACTAGAATGCCTGCGTCACTCATTTTCCCTCAGAGTGTGTATTATTTCGAATTCTCTACCGCTCCACGTTTTGTCTGCGTTCACAATTGTTTCTTTCATGCACAAACTGGATGAAACTTTGACAGGTCCTAAATTTCAACATCCCTAGAAGTGCACGAAACAGCCATAAATTGTAACATACCTCATCGTTATATGAACCGTGAATCGATCCATTTGTCCTAAACCCTATGGAACACGAAGAGCAATCGCTTGTAATTATTTCCCATAATAAAACTTTGACTTTAAATTCGATCTTCAAACTGGGATTTCAAAGTTTCAAATGGTTGTTTTGTACTTCAGATTGTTTCTCCCTCATGCTCTTAAGCTTATTCCAATTTCATCTCCAATAATTTGACTCGATGCATAAAAGAACCATTGGATTAGACTCTTGATATCTGTCTTCTACTCCGTGAAGCGGTTTTTTGACTTCATTGGTATCCGGTAACTGCCGCTGAGTTTGCACAGGTTTTTCTATCAGTTAAGCTTGCAGTTCGGCCTGATCTTGATTGATCACGGCCTGATTTACCAAATACCATCAAATTTGCGTTGAAGTTTCCCCAATGGTCTCACAATGTGATGATTCCTGTAATTTTTTCATGTTCCCTCCCCTATTCTCGTGTCGCTCATTTTCACGTGTTTCCGTCAGGTGTTTTATTGTCAGCTGACGAATGTTTGTCTTTTAAATCCCGATTATGAATTTCTAAACGCGCTGCATCACGTTCTTCTTGATGTTTTTGTTGCGTGTTCCTCCATTTGATATTCGGACAGCCCACAATCTGTCCAACCTCGACCATGCGATTTGCTGGCCGGGGTCATGTTCTTTTTTATGACACATCTTGCTGTGTTGAACAGCAGATGGGCTAAACTCCATAGTCACGAGGACTTGCTGTTCAGTGATGGGGACCGGTAACCTAAGCCCCGGAACTTGAAGTAGTGAACCACATAAGGCCCCATTTAGGTTGGGCATGGTATTGAACTGGGCGACAGCAGAGCTAACTACCACCAAAGTTGGGTGGTGGTGGTCGGGCTCGATCACAGGGTCCAAAGCACGCCTGTGACAACGACTAAACCACTACGATTCCAAGCGCAACTCTGGTACACATTCACGGGGAATTGAATGCTTCCTGTTTTCCTCAGTGCGTGACCCCGGAGGTTCTCCGTTTGCAATTTGTTTAGCTTGGTATTCACGTTCTGTCTCTGCCAATTCATGGTCTCTTAGTTTCTGCGAACGGAACAAACGCCTCTGGTTTTGTACAGCTTGATGTGCCCAACATCAAATCAGATAACGTATGCTGAATGGTTTCCCGAGGAGACGTTTGATAGATGTTTTTGTGCACAATGGATTGCAAAACATGAGCGTCATTACCATTTGAATCAACATTACGTATTTTATCCGCGCTTATTTGGAGGCAACTACGATACGTGCGGAGCGCAGTTGATTTGGGTTATCAGTCGTCAATCAACCCCAGCTTTTAACTACCTTGTTCATCGATTGAAGTACAAAAAGTAAAAGTTCTAAACCGAATTGAAGTTTCAATACCTGCGGGTATTATGTCGACCAATGGCCTCAACTAAAGCGACAGGTCGAAATTTATGATAATGCTGTCCGCATCTTTTCTTGACGGGTTTTCTTTCCCACCAAAGTGATAGGACGAAAAGCCAACAGCCGGCGCTAAAATCTGGTCGGTGAAACAGTTTCAGTTTGTACAACTATTAACCATGCACTATCGTGCGTCAGTTTTGGTTGCTGTCTTTTGGGTGCCCATTTGGATGAACATAAGGAGGAAGACAGGAAGGGTTGAAAGTAGGACCAAGGAGAGAGTTTAGGATTTCATTGCACTAATTTTGTAGAGAAATTGACAAATGCACGAACGCCATTGCTTACGACACTCAGTCATATCACTAAATGTCTCTAACCCTCGGGTACGATCATCCCGAGGTCCCCATCCAGAGAACCTAAAGGGACCTACGTGACCCACACTCCTGGTTAGGACTTTCATACCCTCATGGCAGGTCTTAACTTGAACACCCTTGACTTTCTTCCTCCCACTACCTGCCTCAGCGAACACCGCTCGCCGTGGCAACCTATCTGGTGACATGCGTAACACATGCCTCAACCATCGTAATCTGTGGAGGTCGACCATTTCCTCCAGTGGACGACAGTATTCACCACCAGTAGTCAACCCAGGGGAGGTGGCTAAAAGGAAACTTGTGCCAACCACAAATACCCTCACCTTCCTGGTCGTAGTAGTGGTCACCGGCTGGATTGGGTATCGAGGTGTATTAGGCACCTTGGACGTTGAACCGCATCCAAAGGGTGTATGCTCTGATGGACTGG